TTGGGAGGGACCGCCCCCCCCCCCCCCCCTGGCTACGCGCCTGCGGTCAGATAAACACTTTTTGATACCTTGCCCGAACCCGCAATCTCAGTGGTTTAAGGCAATACATTACGGTCAGATAAGCATTCAGGGGCCCGCCTTAGGGCCCCTGGTGGGGTGGGGTCGAGGCAGCGGAGCCGGCTCCGGAAGCTCAGGGGTTTTAGGCGTTTAATTAAGGCCAGATGAGCATTTTGTTATATACCTTATTATTTTGTAACACTGGCAGGTCACTATGTAACACTGGCAGGTCACTATTTGGCGTGGGGTCCAGGGGGCGGAGCCCCCCAAAATCAGGGATTTTAGGCATTAAATTACCGTCAGATGATCATCTAAGGGCCCGCCGTAGGGCCCTAGATGGAATCCAGGGGGCAGAGCCCCCGGAAGCTTAGGGGTTTTAGGCATTTAATCACGGTCAGATGAGCATATTTTGATGCCTCATTATTTTGTTGACACTGGCAGTTAACTATTCTATTTTATTTCTCTTTAATATACTTTTTCAAAAAAAAGTGGGGGGGGGGGGGGAGCTCGAGGATCTCGATCCCCGCCGTACCTCGGGCCCTGATATGTAGGAATCTCAAGAATCATATTTTTTGCCTGGCTGTAAATCTAGGAATTTGTCATTTTCCAACAAACACATACAAACGTATAATTTACTAAAAAGTGAGGAAAATTTTCGGAAATAATGTCATTTCAGCATTATTTGTAATCCACCGTTGTGGAATTAGAAATAAACCACGTTTGAATTTGATTTTCCCCAAGCCCCCCCCCCCTATCAGTACGCCATTATCTCCTCTTTTCCTTTTTTCTTTCCCTTTCCTTCCTTCTCTCTTATTTTTTTGATGGGGGGGGGGGGGGTCAACAGCCTGGGAGGCAAGGCCCTTTCGGCCCCCGATCTCCTTCTTCCCCCTTTTCTTTTCTTTTCTTCTTCCTCTTCTTTCTTTCACTTTCTCTCCTCTTTCCCTTTCCCTTCTTTTCCTTTCTTCTCTCTCTCTTTTTTTTTGCGGGGGGGGGGGGCAAGGCCCGCTCGGCCCCCCTGGATCCGCGCCTGCTTCTGTCTCTCTCTCTCTCCCCTTTTATCCTATCTCACACCTGTATCTCGTCGCTCTTTTCTTTGAGACTTTGTCTCATCTCTCTCTCCCTCTATCTCATATATTTCTCACCCTCTCTCCTCTCTCTCATACCATCCTGTCTTTCCATCTTCAGTAATCATTCTCTTCCATGAAAAACTAAGACATTTTAGAACTACAGCATTGACAAACAAAGTTTAATACGATAAATGATTTATATCATGATCATTCTCTTCGTAGCGGTACAAGGATTGCGTACGTCGTGCAATATACCGGTATTTGGGGGGCGCGAGACGACAGCATTGCATTACGAACATTGCTAATGCCCGCGTCACACTGTCCCGAAGATGACATAAGATGGACACACGATGAAGGAAAATTCCAAATTCGGCTCTGATCGTAAACACATCGGGCCATATCGGGCCATTCGTGAGGGCATCTGAAGCAATCGTGTGGCCGCCGTTGGATTTTTCAGGCTCCGGCAGCAACTTCGTGAGCGGTGGCAAAATCTTTGGCGTGCCAAAAAATTACCCGAAGACCTTGCGATGGTTCATTTTCGTGTTGTATTCGTGTGTCCATGTTGCCCTTCGTAAGGCCATCGTGAGGGCATCTTGTCAAATCGTGTCATCATCGTAATGACTTCGTGTGATCATCGGTGCCATCGGGAATTTATTACCTCACGAAGACAATACGAAGGAAACAAGATGCTGTCCGAATGTCTTCGGAAGGCAACACGACTACATGAAACCCTCGCAATGCCATCGCGTAGCCATCGTATTATAGTACGATGACTTCCAGATGGGACCACGGTGTCGGCGAAGACAGCCGAATTTAAGTAGCTCAAGCGTTTCCCATGTGTCATGGTAACGTGGACATATGTTGCAATAAGCTATATTTCTCGTATCTATACTGATTTGTTTTTCAGATTCAATATATCATGTTATGGAATGTTTTATATTACATAATGTGTTTTAATTTTGTTTGTAAACTTTGTAATTCGGCTAAACGCCGCGATGAAAGTTTTATTTGAAATAAACCATTTTGAATGAATGAAAAAATAAATATATAAAGCCAGCCTCATAGCCAGAGGCTTTTTCAAGTACCTCAAAAGTGCTCTTCTTATGTAGGAAAGGTGCCCCTATAACTTCGTAAGAAGTGCCATTTTTACAGAGCAAAAGGGCCCATTTTACCTTAAAAAGTGCCCATTTCACTTTTGACAAGTGCCCCCTTTACTCTGATAATTACCCTATTCTTCCCCTTTTAATAACTACCCACTTTAACTTCCTTAAGCAAACCTTTTATTTCCACGTGTGCCCCTTTTCCAATCTAATTAGTGCCCCTTTTTCGTATGATAAGTTTTCCCATTAGAACAAGAGAGCTCCTTCTCCTTCTCATAAATGCCCCTTTTTCACCTATTAAAAGTGTCCCTTTTCATTCTCATAAGTACCCCTTTTCATATTTACTCAGTGCCTCTTTTCAGGGGCGATAAATTCCCCTTTACACCTCTGACAATTTCCTTTTTAACAATGATCCGTGCCCCTTTTCCTTCATATAGAAACGTTGTATCATCCGTTCAATCTGACTTGCGTGCATATAACAAATAAGCATTTTTCCATGAAAAAGTGAAGTTTTTCTAAAAATGTGCGTTTCTTTCCAGCATTGGGGCGCCCGGGAGTCACTCGGGTAACATTTCATAAAGTATAATATAAAAAGACCATATGCAAATTGTCTGTACTTTTGTCGGAAAAAATAGATTTATCCAGCACAATGTCGTCTCTTTTTGCGTAGGAGAAGAGCAAAAAGCGAGTTTCAATCATACTTTGGCCGCTCTCGCAAGCTCTCACTCGTTTCATTGTGGTCAAGCGACTTTGGGACAATTAGCAGTTAACGAAAATACTAATCGTTAGCTTTCTTCTGGTATTGAACTTGTTTTGATTTATTGTATAATTTTGTCGGAATAAAGGAAACAAAGAGGCTTGACCAATAACGTAACGTCTGAATTGACCTTTTGACCTTGAATTCCGTGATGCAAGCGCGCATAAACAGGTTCTAATGACGTCATCTTCGCTCAATCGGTGTCTTTTATCGTAAAATGCTACACTTTCACAATGTTTATACATCTTTTTTAATTATTAGTAAGAAAGAACATATTTTGTCTGATATCACTAATGTTTTGGGTTTTATTTAAAGAGTAATTTTAAAATAAGAGCCATTTTACTGTTCAAGTTTACTGGATTGTACCATTAAAGTCGCAGGGTAGAAAGATGCATTTTCCAACCGCGCCAAATTTGATTTACGTTCCGCCATTCTGTTAAATGGGTTCGTGTCGTTAAGAATCCACTGCTTTCTGCTCCACAAAACGTCCACATGCGGAATCATTTATCAACTAAACTATTCAAATTTAGGAATGCTTCCTTCCCAGGTGTTTGTGTTGTTGAAGCATTTCATTCACCTGCTATCATTCTTTGTACTCCAATTGCCAGTACGCAAATTACATTTTGGTTTTATAGTTTCATGCGGAGTCGTTTATCAACTATATGTATTCAAATTTATGAATGCTTCCTTCCCAGGGGTGGTGTTTATGCATTTCATTCACCTGTTATTATTCTTTGCACTCCAATTATTGTTAGAATACAAAATGCATTTTGTTTTTATAGTTTCATTCAATAACTAAGTCAATAAAAGAGTATGTTCTGCACGATAAAAACAATGTGTGTCCCTATTGTACAATGTAATGTGTCTCCTCATTTTGTAATAGTTAATTTACCCATTCACATAATGGAACTACCTGCCCGGTAAAACCAGTGGCCCTTGACACCCGAGCACTTAACACCGTACATGGGAGTCAGTTTGTGGTCAACTTCTTTTATGAGACAAATCTAAGCAAACGTTTCCATATGTCTAATAAGGGACCTATCCCCTTTTCATTAATTCCCATTTTCAACTTCTCTTTTTAAACGTGCTCCTAATTTAAAATGAATATTAGGGCAATTTCTCCCAAAACTCGCTCGCTATACTCACTCGCATTGATTTCATAGATGATATAATTATGTTACTTATCAAAGGTCTTTTCAGTCTTCCGTTATGAGAATGTGAGTATAACCCCATCAGTATTGGATTTAATTATCTTTATAAGATGTAATTTTTTGCACTGCGACCTCACAAATCTTAACATTTTTCCTCGCTCGCATATGAATATTCAGACCATCATACCCAACTGCAAAGTATGATGCTTAAACAATATCTTGTTTGATGTACAAAGTGAAATAAATATTGAGAGCATCCCTGTTAATGTGACCACAATGTATTTGGGTACATACCAATGTCTAACAATTTGTAGTGAGCACTATTTTTTTTTTTTTTTTTTTTTTTTTGCTCCCGAAAATGTAAAAATCGCGCTGGCCGAAAAGTCGCTCATTGCGTTCTGGAATACTGAGGTGCTAAAGAAAATTGCGTGTTGATAAATTCGTGATAATATGCAACTCATACATACATTGTAATGAAGTGGTTATACAGCACACTAAATCCAAATGGACACCTGAATTTCTTGAGCGAATATAACTGTTGAATACATCTCTTATCCATCAGTGTTGCCCCTTACATTTTAATATTTGATGATGGAGTCTAGCTAATACAAACATCCACAATTATAGCATGAACCAATGTCATAAATAGATGCACCATTTCATAATAACCAGTACCATACATACAAGTACATGAAGATGGACCATTACCATGAGGCCATTTTCATAATTATATAGATGGACTGAAGCCTTTTATAGATCATACAAATATTCTTCCATGTTAATATGACAGCAAGACCCCAACAAAAAAAAGAATACACCAAAGAAAATATGTCTTACAAATATGGAATATGTAGATATACAAATTTGTTTTATAGATAATTAGAGCACACTTAATATGCTTACTCTCTACATCTTAGAAATCAGTAAATTGAATATCAGTCAAACCTCTCTCAAATCACAGCATCATAAGATTTCAACCTCAAAACTTTCAATGAGAAAAAAGAAACATAGTATTCTGGCCATTGTTATCTATTTGTCAAATGAAATATGAAATATAAAGGACCACAAAGTTTGGAAATTACAAGCTAATACTGTCAGCAGAAGCAAACTGCATGTATGTAAGAAAATCCAGCACACAAAATGGAAACCAAAACTGTTTAATGACAAGACTACAGGTCTACCATCATTTAAAATAAAATCAATAGGCATATCACCCACCAGATGGCAATGAAATCCATTTTTAATTGAATAAATCTGGCCACTTTTGTCCTTCCAACAAAAATCAATAAGCAGCTCAATAACAATAATAATAATTTTCCCTTTCATGAAATTGTCCACTTCTGTCATTCATATGAAAAGTAACCTGTGAAACACATGCACTTGTACCATCTACTTTTTTATAACAAATTACAGATTTTGTTTTGCTTTGGCGAGTCTGTAGATGAGTTGCGAGACATCGTCAAAGATCTCTGGTTGTACGTGCTCTCTCACTCTCCCTATCCACGCCTTCAGCTTTGGTCTTCTGTCTAGCGTGCCATAGCCGCAGGGTTCCACCTGTATAACCTGTTGGTTTGTGAAAAAGATTAAATATTTTAAGTTAAAGTCGAGTACTGGTCATGGAATTACACCATGAAAGAAACATTCTGGATGCAATTAAAAAAGGTTCATTATAGAGTATATTGAGATTTGTGATTATCAAAATGATAACTAATTATTGACGCAATTGCCTAAAGCCGCATGCAGTACACACAGGAATTTGCATATAGGACTACAAACACATTTGGCAATCAGTGGCAAGAAGGTTTGGTCCAAACAGTTCAGCTATTTCTTTTCATATTTTGAATATGAGGGCATTTGAAATGCAATCCTTTTCACTGGACATTTCTTTTGCTCTATTCTGTCAAACTGACATAACAGAATCAGCAATCTGGTAACTAATTTTGTTTCACCTTTAACGGAATTGAACATCAATATTCAACCTTTTCAGCAATGCAATTTCATATCCCAAACTCTATGTTTTCATGTGTCGGGATTAAGCCTATTTACATTAAAACAAAAAAATCATCAAATTTATTCAAGATATAACACGTAATTGTTTAAAATCACAATTTAATTACACAGAGGAAGAACCATGATATTATAATCTAAAGGTTTCGCATACCCCATCTGCCTCCATTATGCCCAATTTTTCTTTTAATGTAATTCAGATGAATCAGATACCTTATAGATGCACTGGAACATCTGTTGGGAGCCGTAAAGGTACATGTATTAGCACTGTGTTAGAAGATGCTTTTCTGGTTCTGAGAAGATGAATTATGCAGTTTGTGTTCTAGTCACTTTTTTATGTGCCATATAATTCTGCAAAGCTACAAGAAATACAGAATGACCTCCTTGTTTCTAATGATTATCGTACTAAGACGCAGAATAACTTAAATATACATTGTACATGTATATACCTCAATAATCTTTATACATTTGACAACCAAATTATTCATACCGCTTGCAATTTTGATGTATTTTTTCTTCTTCTTGTTACTCAAGAAAGAAAGCTGGACTGGCTGAATACTTTTGAGTGTAAGCTTTCATGTCACATTCTCAATTTATGTTTCTTGAGAATGTGACATGAAAGCTTACACTCAAAAGTATTCAGCCAATTGGGACAAGTTATTTATCACATACCGGTACTTGAAAACTTACAAAACAAGGTAAAGGTATGAATAATTTAGTTGTTGAAGGTATAGACCAGACTGGTCTATACCTTCAACAACTTCTGGTCATGCGATTGCATTGTGAAAGAAACGTTGTGGAATCGATCGGTAAGGTTGATCATCTAGCATATTAGTATTGGTGTATACTGCAAGGTTCCGGAATCATCAAAATGATAAGAAATTTGGCCCAGTCTTGGTAAAGTGATAAGCACTGTACACAGAAAGATGTATATGGTACTACCCTATATCTATTCAGTCCGGATATATATAATAATTTACCAAATCTATCAATAAGTAGGCGGTTTCCCGTCAAAATTTGTATCGTCACGTATGACGTATTAGTCAAAACATATTCTTTCACATGACTGGTAATAAGAGCTTCCATTTCCATTTTTTGAGAGGGGGGCGTTTCCAAAACTGGTCCATTTAAATCATCAAGGTACCTCGTTGACGCCAAACAGGTCTGCGATGCTGATATCATACCCACACAGGAAAGGTTTTTCCTGGAGGAAGTGCTTTTCTAAGTTGTCTAAGGTTTCTTCCATTCTCTGGATGTCTGGTGCAAGGGCCGCAGGGTCTGGTGGGGTGCCCGTCATCCGGGGGAAGATCACCTGTGAAAAGGAGGAGACCGGTAGGGTGTTATTTAACTTAAAGCCCCACTGTACTACTTGCAGCTACTTGCTCCCTCTATGTAGAAAACAATGCCTAATCAGTGTCCGTTGGTCCCTCATGATCCTCTTTTTCTTATGTTAATTGAGAGCTGAGTTGATGAGATAGCCACCTGTCAGTGACCTCCCTGGGTGGTCTAATACCTCCTAGCCATACTAGTAAAGACGGTCTTTAAAGGCATTATTACAACAAAAAAGTTGGAAAGAGACTAGAGATGGGAAAGAGCGAGGGAGAGAGAGAGAGGGGGGCAGGGAGAGGAAGAGGGTGTGGGAGAGAGGGAAAATAGAGACATAGGGTGAGAGAGGAGGGAGAATATTAAGAGTGAGAGAGGGAAAGTGCGATGGAGAGAGAGAGAGAGAGAAAGAGAGAGGGAGAGAGAGAGAGAGAGAGAGGGGGATAAGAGAAAGGGAATGAAAAACAAGACTTGTATAATGTTTTATACACATAAACATGATATATTAGGGAGAAAGAGACCAAGAGAGAGAGAGAGAGAGAGACAGAGCCAGACAGAGTAAAACAGAGATGCAGAATAAGGTGGAAACATGACAAACAAAAAGTTAGATGTACAAATCATTGATCATTGTATATACTTAGTTAATTAGCCCAAGCCCTCGATGTGAATTGTAATGTAAACCCTATTTGTAGGGGTTTGCATGTTATCTATCTTGTACAATATTAGATTTAGGAACTGGGTAAATATGAGTTGGTAGTACTTTTCAGTGCAGTACTTGATTCTGACCCTCTGGTCTTTGATACTACTGATACTTTACCTCAGTAGTTGATCGAAGGGGGGGGGGTGGTGGGGGGCACAGTCTGCCCATGCCCCTCCCCCACATTTTAAGCCCAATCAGGCATTCATAAGTACCCCCCAAAACCCATCCCCCAATCAATGATATAATTTCTATGATTTCCATAAAATACATGATCCAATGTGTTTATGGCTGTTTATTCAAATTGAATGCAATACAAAACAATCTGTTACAATTCACTGAAATTGCACGCAATTTGATGTTTGACTCACTTCTGCGCAAAATACATTATATACACGAGCTCTCATATTGAAATGCTGCCAATCCAAATATTCATTGATCCTTGACCTCTGCTGAAGGCTTTTGGGAAACCAGTGATCCGCACAGTCAAACTTTTCATGAAGATACTTTGTGATGGTTGCACTTTGCGAGTCGGGAATATGTGAAGATAAGCAGAAAGATGAATGGAATATGCATTATATATTGCATTTCAACTTTGTGGTCAAGAGTATTATGGGTGACCCCACACTTTCATATCAAGGTGTTTATTAACTGATGGAAGTTTGAACACAAAGCAATCGTCTCTAAAGCACTTGTCTATAGGGTTCTTCGAACAATCCTTGGAAAATGTGCGCTTATCTGTACAGAACTTGGACTAACCTCTTTCCAAAAGACCTTTGCAACAGTGATTCTGGTGTTCATGTTTTGCCAGGCGAGATACTCATCGACGTTGGCCCTAGATGGGCAGGGGCGTCTCCAAAGGGGGGGGGGGGCTGTGGGGTGCGACACGCCTCCTCTTGGAACTACGCTTGACCTTCAACTCAGATGGCGGTCATTTTGGATTTGCCCAAGATGGCAGTCCCAGAGAGCGCCCTTCTTGGCGTCCGGCAGAAATCGTAATAGTATGGTATATTTAACTATTGTTTAATTGTGATAGTCCATTGTTCACAGAAATAAAAGAATTGTTCACTTTTGCGCTAATGCATTGATCAAAGAATGAATAAATTGTTGGAAATTACATCGATTTTTACACTATTGCAATACTGCATTGTTCAGATAACGCACAAAATGGTTCTGAATTCCGTTTATAACAATTTTTTCCATTCTGTGAACCTGTAATATTCAGAGCAGGAAAAAATTATTTCGAATTGCATCAATCAGAGATTTTGGCATCAAATAAAATCTTTGGAGTGCTGATCAATTCATTGAAAATAATCTACAAAAACTGCACAAAACTGCAGAAAATTGATCACAATTTGTAGCTTTTAGTCTAACAGGATTTCGGTTTATCCCAAGCAGCCTCAGTACCTTACACAGTAGTAATTTCAGACAGGTTTTTTTTTTTTGCACCATGATCAAAATAAAAACCATCTGAATAATCCAATCACATTATCTAAACCATAAATAATCAAAGATTGGCTATTGGACTATCAAGAAAAAACAAACATGTTATAGTATTTCATTTTGTAGTACTCATATGAATTCTTACCTAACACAAACAATGCTGAAACATGTAAAACAATGGCTTAGGCCCTTGTGTGAATTTCATTTTAAAGAGCTGCTTTAAAGAGCAATCTAACCCTAGTAATAACGAGATTTACAGAATGGCAAAAGTTTAAAATGAAGCAGATCGATAATGAGAAAGTTATGAATGTTTTAAATATGAGATATGAGGTTCCCACGTGTCCTGTTTTGTGAGGGTGTCCACATTGAAATTTTTAAGGACTGTATGTGTGGGCCCCCATCAAATTTGGGGGACTAAAATTTTGGGTGCACATGTGTCTCCGGCACCTGGCAGTGTTGTTGATCCATACCTCTCTGTGAGTTTGAACTCTCCGTCTTGCATAGCCGGAATCTTCATCATTGGACTGACGGCTGCATACTCCTTGGATTGGTGCTCACCTAAAAGGTCAAAGGTTACAAAGCAGGGCATGGCAATGAACAAAAGATAACAGAATAAAGAGATGGAAATTCTTTCCTTTTTGAATACAGACCTCTTTACAGAGTATTACAGAGTATTACAGGTGGACCACTACACCGGGGTTTCCCCCTACTCTTATACAAATAGTGCAGTAGGTTCTTAACGTGCAAAGGTAGTGACTCTTCTCTACACGGGGCCTCCATTTAACGTCCTATCCGAGGGATGGAGTGTTTTCCACTTAACATTAAAGGTAAATAATAATACAAAGCTTTGGACAATTTTGAAAATTGAGTGTATAGTGATTCTTTACAATTTTGATATATTTGGATGTCCCTGTGGATGTCGTATAAAAACTAGAAAATTTAGACCCTAAAACACTTCTGCTTTCGAGAAAAATTGAATATAAAAATTTTCGGGAGCAAAATAATAAAGCTGAGTCGTTGCGAATTTTTGGGCCCGATTTTAACCCCCCCCCCCCCCTCCCACCCTCTTGAAAAAATCCTGCGTACGCCACTGGCCAGGATAGTAATGCAGCTATGTGTGCCATGGCCCGATGGGCCCGAGGGCAGGCCCATGTCTTTCAATCGACATTCAGCAGAACCCCTCGATACACGCCCCCCGAACTCTGGCAGAGAAATAGATAGAATTAGTACGTGCACTTCTCCCCCCCCCCTTCCACAGGGTTCTTTATTTTCAAAACAAATTCCATCATATACAGCATATCCATATATCATATACTAATAATTAAAGAAATAATTTCCCTACATAATGGCTTGACACAGATAATAACCATAATAACTTTTATGACAAAATTAGTACTTTAAATATATAATTAAAAAAATACCAAACATAAAATACATGATCATGTTTATGTTAGCACATTTCAAACACTCTCAAAATATTTTCTAAAGTGAAACCATTTCTTTTTCAATTTATTCTCTCTGAGATTTGCTTGGTATATATATTTTTTCATTTCATAATAACGTTTTACAGCTGATAAAATTATATCAAATGATGGTAGTTGATTTCGTAATTTAGCTGAAAATATCTCTTGTCTTACAACCATCAGAACACAGTTGAGTGCATTTTTATTGCTACCGCAAAATCCAAACAATTTATTTTGATTTGTAAGTTTGATCCTTTCCCCCGTATCACGAAATATCCAGAACTCTAACTTCGACCATACTTTGTTAGAATAGTTACAAAAGCAAAAAAACGTGCACTTACTTTTTCGTATGGCTATTGGACATGGAGTGTATGGGATCTTGTTTGCTCTCACAAACATCAACACCGACCTCGCAGGCTGCGACAGTACGTCGTAGAATATTTTAACAGACATTTTGCAACTTATTTAGGCATTAAATGGTAGAAATAACGATGCTTTTTACTGGCAGGTGATAACCTTCCTAAATCTACACAAACCTTTAAACTATGCCTCCAAAAAAAAAAACCGTGCATCAATTTAAAATGCACATGACACCCCCTCTAGACGTTAGTGCGATGTCTGGACACCAATTATTCTGAGATTTGTTACGCCAGTACGTAAGTACAACGCGCGTGCGCGGCGTGCACCATAATGCATTGATATGCATTCACGATATCGCGCGCATGAAGAATATCGCTAATATTTTTTCTGAGAACGAGACCGCAGCAGACAAAATAATGAAGTTGAAATTATTTTTAGTGGATGTTCACCCCGTGAACACCTTTATACGCCACATTTCAAATCACATAGCGAGATACCAAAACGGTCTTCCATTAGAATAAAAATAGAAATATAAACAGAAATTGAATTAGTAATAGAAATAGAAATTATAGAAATAGATAAATAAGTAAAATACAAATAAGAAATAGAAATTGATTTTGTATTTCTTGTTTTAGAATGGCTAAAAGTTTATTGCACTTTTACGTCTGAGCGCGTGCAGGAGCAAGGCTGCAAGGTTGCATTTTACGCATCTTGATTGGCTGACATTTATTTCTCTCCTATTATGACATCACAATCAATGAAACCGTACACACACCAATGCGTTGTGATTGGCTGAAAGGATTTCTCGCACTTTCATTATGACATCACAATCAGCTCAAAAGACATGATTGCGCAGATACTTGTTTAAGCGTCGTGATTGGCTGAAAGTTTCATTGCCCTTTTGTGACATCACAATCACAGTTACTACGATCGCAATAAGTAAACAATTAAACATACAATTTAAAATGCTAGCTAGGAGCCGTCCAACCAACAATAAGGCCAACCAGAGACTATTTATCGACACTTTATGTGGACGTCTTTTTCCTAGCTACAAA